GGGACGGTTCGGGTGGAACTCGTCGGGTGGGGCCACCGGACTCAAAAGGGACCTGTGGAAGACCGGGTGAACCTTCAGGGTTGCGGGTAACCGGAGACGGAATGCCACAGGAGAGACTTGGTCTACGATAGGGAACGGGCCGGTGAAGCGGGCGTCCAACTTCCGCGAAGGTTGAGAGGGGTGGAGGTGGCGAGTGGAGAGCCAAACCAGGTCACCGACGCGAAGTTCCGGCCCCACCTGGCGGTGGCGGTCGGCCTGGGCTTTGTACGCTTCCTTGGCCTGGTGCAGTTGCTCCACCAAAAGCTGTTGCTGGGACTGGAGCTCTTGAAGCCACTCCGTCACCGCCGGGACCGTGGATGCCGGCAGCACCTCTGGAAACAGCCGTGGATGATAACCATAACTGGCCTGGAACGGGGTCTGCTGGGTGGACGCATTCACCGCATTGTTGTAGGCGAACTCCGCCAATGCCAGGTGGTCGACCCAGTCATCCTGCTGGTAGCTGCAGTAACACCGGAGGTACTGCTCCAGCACCGCGTTCGCCCGTTCCGTCTGGCCATCGGTCTGTGGGTGGTAGGCTGACGAGAGGCAGACCTCTGTCCCGAGGGTCTGGTGTAATGCTCGCCAGAACCGGGATGTGAACTGAACGCCCCGGTCGGACACCACGCGCTCAGGTAGGCCAAGCAGGCGGAAGACATGCTGAAGGTACAGCTGAGCAGTTTCCTTGGCTGTGGGTACAGATGGACAGGGAGCGCAGTGCACCATCTTGGTGAAATGGTCGGAGAAAACCAGAAGGCAGGTACAGCCACGAGACGAGGGTAAGTCCACTACAAAGTCCAACGAAACCGTGTGCCAAGGGCGCGGTGGAACTGGCAATGGCTGAAGTAGGCCGGGGGGTCGCCCGGTAGGTCCCTTGGCGCGCCGGCAGACATCACAACCAGCAACGTAGCGAGCCACGTCAGCCTTCAGGCGGGGCCACCAAAACTCACGACTGACCAGATGGGTGGTCCGATACCGTCCAAAGTGCCCCGCTGCTGGGGCATCATGGGCCATCCGGAGAACCTCCAGCCGTAGTGGCCCTGGCGGGATGTACAGACGACCGTGGTGCAGCAGAAGGCCCTGATGCAGGACCAGCCCCGGATACTGTGGGCTGGACCCTTCAGCCAACTCCCGGAGTCGTTCCTGGGCCCAAGCGTCGACCCGCTGCTGTTCCCGCACCCGAACCTGCAGTGGCTGCGCCTCCTGGGTGGCCAGGAATGCAGCCGGAGGTAGGATCGTGGTGGGTTCTGCTTGCTGTACCGTGTCTGCGTTGTCTTCAGGTTTCCGGGACAGGGCATCCGCCTTCTGATTCTGAGAGCTAGGGATGTAGCGGATCCGAAACTGGAACCGGGAAAAGAACAACGCCCACCGGATCTGTCTTTGGTTCAGCTTGCGGGTGGTCTGGAGGTACTCCAGGTTCCGGTGGTCGGTTCTCACCTCCACCGGATGTCGTGCCCCCTCAAGATGGTGGCGCCAGACCTCAAAGGCTACCTTGATGGCCAGTAGTTCCCGCTCCCACACAGTATAGTTACGCTCCGCTGGTAGGAGCTGGCGGGAATAGAAGGCACAGGGTAAGAGTGGCGCTTCAGGACCAATCTGTTGAGACAAGACGGCACCGAGAGCCGTACTGGAGGCGTCGGTCTCCACCACAAAGGGTCGAGAGGGGTCAGGATGTTGTAAGATTGGTGCCCTCTGGAAACAGGCCTTCAACCCCTGAAACGCCTCCTCTGCCTCCTTGTCCCAGGAAAACGGCGTCTTTGGGCGCAGTAGCCGGGTCAACGGGGTGGTGCGATGAGCATAATCAGCGATGAAGGTCCGGTAGTAATTGGCGAACCCCAGGAAACGCTGTAAGTCCTTGCGGTTCCGGGGTGCCGCCCATTCTTGAACCGCTGTCACCTTCCCCGGGTCCATTTGCACCCCATCCGGAGAGAGCCGGTGACCAAGGAAGTCCACAGTCCGCTGATGGAACTCGCACTTGCTGAGCTTTGCGTACAAACGGTGCTCACGCAAGCGCTGCAGCACGGTCCGGACATGTCCCTCATGGCGAGCCGGGTCACGGGAGTAAATCAGTATGTCATCCAAATACACCACCACGTACTTGTCTAACAAGTCCTGAAACACGTGGTTGATGTAGCGTTGGAACACAGCAGGCGCGTTGCACAAACCGAAAGGCATAACCAAATATTCGAACTGCCCGTACCGGGTCCCAAACGCTGTCTTCCACTCATCCCCGGCTCGGATCCGAATCAAGTTGTAGGCCCCCCGGAGGTCCAGCTTGGTGAACACCTGTGCCCCTTGCACCCGCTCCAGCAGCTCCGAGATAAGGGGCAAGGGGTACCGGTCTGGGACGGTAATTTTGTTCAGGGCTCGGTAATCATGGCAAGGGCGGAGTTCCCCACATTTCTTCTTAACGAAAAGCACTGGTGCCGCGGTAGGCGAGGTGGAAGGCCTAATGAACCCACGCTCCAGGTTCTTGCGCAAGAAGTCCTGCAAAGCCTCGCGCTCTGGCTCTGTTAGAGAATATAAGCGACTCACTGGTAAAGGCGCTCCGGGTTGGAGGTCTATGCCGCAGTCAAAAGGCCGATGCGGCGGCAGCTGGTCTGCCCCCCGTTCCTCGAACACGTCCTGGTAGTCCTGGTACACAGCTGGGAGCATGGGTGCTGCCTCCTCTGAGGGCGCGGCCGCCAGCGTCCCGGATTGAGCATGGGAACATGGGTCTGGGAAGTGCACGGTCCGTTTGACCCAGTCAATCTGAACGTTGTGGGCTTCCAGCCAGTCCATCCCGAGCACCAGGGGGAAGCGGGGCATAGAGGCAATGTCCAAAGTTCGCAACTCCCGGTGCTGCTGGAAACACAGGACCAGGGGCTGGGTCTCCTGAGTAACGGCACCTGAACGCAGAAGTCGTCCGTCAATCGCTTCCACCTGGACCGGTACTGGCTTGTTCCGAAGTGGCACCTGATGATGGGCGGCAAAAGCAGCGTCCATATAGGAGCGGGTTGCCCCTGAAACTACCAAAGCATGGGTGAGGATCCAGGGCCCACCTGGAGGGTATAAACGTACCGAAACCATAAGATGTTGCAAGTCCATTGGTGCGGGCCCATTCTGCGCGGTTTGGGACCCCCGGTAGCTAGGGCCATCAGCTACTGGGGTTGGCGGTTTCCCTGCGGCTGGCGTTTCTCAGGGCAGGACCGAGCGAAGTGTCCACTTCCGCCACAGTAAAGACAGAGATTTCCCTCCCGACGCCGCGCCTTCTCTGCGGGGGAAAGGCGTGGCCGCACTGCCCCGAGCTGCATAGGCTCCTCCGTTAAATCAGTTGTGACCGTGGGGCTGCCGGAAAAAGCTGGTGCCGTGAACTGGAAGTGTCGGCGACCCCGGGCCTGACGACGATCCTCCAACCGGTCGTCTATTTGTAGACTCCGTTGAATGAGAGTGTCTAGCGTGGTGGGGCGTTCCATTGTGGCCAACTGGTCCAGTACCTCGTCCGAAAGCCCTTCGAGATACTGGTCCCGCAGTGCCGAGTCATTCCAGGTCAAGTCCTGTGCCAACAGCCGAAACTCCGTGGTATATGCGGCCACCGTGGACTTGCCCTGTTTCAAACGCCGAATCGCCCGGTTGGCTTGACTCCCTTTCTGGGGGTTGCCGAACGCGGCCTCCAAACGATTGCAAAACCCCGTATAGTCTGCCAGCAAGGGGGAGTCTTGCCTGAGTAGCGGCAACGCCCACTTGGCCGCCTGGTCCTTTAACAAACTAATCAAAAAGTGCACCTTGGTGCGGTCGTCAGGAAAGTTCCGGGCTCGCCCCTGAATATACAGCTTGGCCTGGGCCAGGAACATGGGAAAGCTGGCCGGGGCTCCATCAAATTTCTCAGGCAAAGCCACTGGGTACTTGCCAGGAGCCGGGGCGTCGGCCCCAGGAGCCGGTAGGGCTTCCAAGCGTTGCTGAAGTGCCGCAACCGCGTCACTGAGCTGCTGCATGGTGTGAGTCAAGGCCTGGTTCTCCTGGGCCAAAGCCACCAGTGCAGCCGCCTGGTCAGCCATGGCCTCTGGCTCTTCCCGAACGCACCCCTATGAAGGGGGAGTGCGGGTGTGGCGGGAGCAAACTGTGCTGGTCCCGGGGGTAAGGTACCGTGGGTGTAGCAGAGTCCACACGAAGAGGGGCGAGGTCCGAGGCGGAGAGCCGGGCGGGGAACAGGAACGCTGGAACAGGAGGCTGAGCAGGGAACAGGAACACCGGATGGTCGGGAACAGGAGGCCGAGCAGGGAACAGGAGTACCGGATAATCAGGAACAGGAAGCCGAGCAGGGAACAGGAGTACCGAATAGTCAGGAACAGGAGGCCGAGCAGGGAACAGGAGTACCGGATAGTCAGGAACAGGAGGCCAAGCAGGGATCAGGAACACAGGAAGGTCCGAAGCCAACAACGACGTTGCTCCCGCAACCTGGGGCCGGGCTGACTGAGCTTTTATCCTCTTCTAAGGCCAGGGGCGGTCCCGGCCCCCAGGAGCCCCGCCTCCTCTGGCCTTAAGGCGAGCACTCCTCCTGGGGGCAACCAGTTCCCTTCGCCTCTCTGCCCTAAGCCTCTGCAGATCAGGAGAGGCCGAAGGGTTACTGGGCCCTGGAGGAGGCTCACCTGTGGCCACTGAGTCATCAAGCCCCTCTGGGGCCAGAAGGGCTTCACCTGGGCCAGCTCCTGATGCACTGCCACAGGTGCAGGCTCTTCAGCATCTAGGCCTTGCCCCAGTTCAGCCGGCCCTGGAGGCGGGGACTCCTGTGCAGGCTGGGATTCCTCTGTTTCATCCTCCGAATCGGAATCCCAGGCCATCACACTCATCCTGAAGCAAAGTTCTTAACCTGAGGTACTGTTTCTGGGTTAGCGGAGTCTGTAACCTGAAGCATCTGTAACCTGAAGCATCTGTAAAGAATGGTTGAATGCTGAACAAGCAACAGGCTTGAGTGAGAGAGAGGAAGAAGAGGCAGAAAATGGCAGGTGTAGGGGAGGTGGGGGCCGAGGCTGCAACAGATTCACAGGAGCCTGCTGGTCCTACTGTATGCAGCTCTCCTCCCCCATTGTCTCCAAGCACTTGGAGAATTTTGCATGCAGCAGAATGACAAGCCCAGAGGTTGTAGTGGCCCCCTCACCAGCAGAGTTTAAGACTGCAGGGAAAACAGCTGGATGGGGAGGAGACTTAGGGGGAAGTGGGAAGCCCAGATCATCAGTTCTGGCAACTTCTTCAGTGGGGCCAGTCTCGTGTAGGATTTTCTTGTTTGTATTCTGTTTCCTTGAATAAAGAACCAATTTTACTGCTCAGCTCTGAGTCTCCGTACTGACCTGCAGCTGAACCAGCCCTGACATTGCATTTTAAAAACTTTCCGTACTCTTACTTTTTCTAAGGATTAGCACACATATTTGTGCAGAATATTTCTGGATTGTGTTTTTCTGATATATTATGCTAATTGAAAATCTAGCTACACAAAACTTGAAAGCTGATCATGTTACACAGCACCATAATAATGTTCTCTGATATTAAAAATAATACCTTTTATGTGATTTGGCAGGATTTTATAGCTGCAACACAGAAATTATGCCTGGTATAAATAACTGGACTTCTGATATACAGGTAAAGAAAAAAGCAAAAATAAAAATCAAATGCCTTTTCCTTTCATACTGAAATGTATAATCTCAGACCTAAATAATGATTTGTGTCTAACACAGTGTTTAGCATTCATAAGAATAATTATCCATGTAAAATAATTATAGGAGCAAGATCCCCATACCATCAGTTTTTTATCAAAAATTATGGGCCCAGTGGTGGCACGATGGATTGTATCTAAAGGTGCCTTCCTCTCAGAGAAGGGCCATTTTTACACCTTCCACTAGAGTCCCCTTCCCTCATCCTGCTGCCATCCAAGATGTTTTGGATTACAACTCTTATCAGCCATCACCAACAACTGGAAGGCAACAGGTTGGGGATGGCTAAAGAGATTGTTTGGCTTCTGCAAACTGTGCTCAAGATGAGGCATGAGAAACTGCTATGAAACCAACCTTAACAAATGAATGAATGGACCTGAATATCTCTCTTCAACAAAGGTTTACAGGGCACTTTACAAAGATGCAAATAATAATAATAATAATAATAATAATAATAATAATAATAATAATACAGCATAAGATCAAAAGGGAAAAGCCACACAAAGCAGGAAATACTGTTTTTTAACACTTTGAGGAGGAAACGTATTTGGTACCCCAAATAAAATAGTTTGCATGCCCTGCAAGCCTTCCAGGCACCACATCTAAATGTGCCTTCTTCTCCTTGGTTGCCAGCCACTTCACCTCAGTTGGAGGCGATATTACTTAGTACACCAGGCAAGTTGCTATGGGAGTAATTACTGTTCCATTTACCTGGGTCCCAAACAGTATAGGGCATTATAGCTAAGTGCTAGCAATTTGAATTGGACTCTGAAATGCACCAGGAGCCAATATTCAATATTGCTGAGGTTTTGTTCCTGATGACCAGTCTCAGTTAGTGCCCTGCCAACTGCGTTCTGTGCAGTTTTTAGTTTCTGAGCTGTGTTCAAGTGCAACATGTCCCCACCCTCATCTGCCAGGTTACGGTAGTCTAATTGGAGCATTACCAGAGCATGGATGAGGTCCCAGTTACTACACCAGCCTAAGCTGGTGAAACACATTATGTGCCACTGATATAACTTGGGTCTGTTGTGACAGACCTAGGAGTGTCCTCAAGCTGTGAACCTGGTGTGGGTATGAGTGTAATCCCATCGAGAACAGTTTTAACCGCATCAAGCAAATGAACTATTACTCCACAGAAGTGCTCATCAAGGTTGAGTTTTGTTTTAGCACCATGTGAAGTTTTTGTGGAAAAATGCTAGTGGGTTTCTCCACTACCCCCCTGCACCTTCAGCTCACAGATATTTGAAACCAAACCTAAAAGTTAAACTCTAAACTATGTTCCTAATCTTTCCCTTCTCTGGTACAAACTTATGCCCCCTCCGTTATATAAATATATAGCACATATAGAATTTACTTGCACATACAACACAGGTTCATAGCTGTTAGCTGTACTGTAAAATGGAGCAGACAAGTTCTATCTGTGTTAACTCATCCTGGATTTAAAACAGCAACAACAACAAACTTCATCACCTCTCTCAACCTTAATTACTTATATGGTCTGTAATAAAATTATATTTAAACGGCAACTCGTTTAATTTGTTGTTTCTGCTTCAGATGTTCACGTCAGTGAGAGTCTCCAGACTTAATAATGTTACCCTAACAAACCAAACACTCAACAAGACCTTTAATGATCTCTGTGAGAATCTGCTCAAGGTAAATGAATGGCTGCTGGAACTATGTATGTGTTTGAACTATTAAGTTTTTTTGCCGATGATACCTAGAATTACTTTTCTGGCATGTCCTCAGTGCCTACTTTTCTGCTTGTAGCAAACTCTGGAGTGGATTGTTTAAACTAATACTGAATGGGACAATGCTGGCGAGTGGGTGGGCAAAGCCTCGTAGCAAAGGGTTGTACTAGACGGCTACTTGGTCCATTCCAACTTTAGGAAATCATATACAAATGTTAAATGGGACATAAGATAATGCAAGTCTACATCTATTTTCTTGTTTAGACACCAGAGTAAGTATCAGTGTATGTTGATTCATCAGCTATCTCTGGGAGCCATGGACATGGTGAGGGATTTATGGCTGTGTTCCTTGTTTCTACTTTAAAACATTGTAGGGTGCTTTTCACCAAATTACATTCCTGCAAACCACTGACAACATACAATCCAGTAGTAGCACAAAACCTGTGGCAGAGATAGAAGTTTCATTGCTATGGGCATTTCTGGAGTTTGACCCAAAAGCCACACATTCAGCATGGAGTGACAAAGGTTGGCAACTATACAGTAATTAGGAAAGGCATCAGATGATTCTTAAATGCCATTTTAATGCCACTGTAAGAAACAGTCCCCCCCTACATATTTGCAATATATATCTCCAAATGTCTAAATCTTTCCAACATATCTTTTGCAAACCACTACAGGCAAGGGTCCAAGTATGCCAAAAACAGCATAGTCAAAATGATTCATGCACACTTTAAAAGGTAGATGGCAGCAATCTGCTCACACTGATGTAGCTGAAGCAGGGAATTAGAATTGGGCTACAAAGAAATGGAAACCCAGACGTCCACCAATTCAGAGGATACTAGATACATAATATATTACTAATTTCTTGTGTTTCAACAGAGCCTGTATTTTAAACTTCGATCTAGTGATTCCTTGCTGCCTGTGCCATGTAATTTTACAGTTGCTCTTCCAGAGGATGAATTAATTCAGGTAAGCCAGTCCATTCACCTTTTTGTATTTGAAGCTTTTCACATTAATCTGTGACAGGAGGAGACTTTGAAAAGTAAGCTGGTCAAGTCAGACACAGGTTATGCTGAAAGCAACTTCCCAACCATTTAGTTTTACAATTTTGAGTTTAAAAGCTTGGCCTGCTTAGCAAACAAAGTTTATGAAGATACTTTGGCGAATTACAGTTGTAATGCCCCTTTTCAACTGCTCAGTTGCTGTAGAAACACACATTCTCAAGAATGTGGCAGTTTTGGCAAGGCCCTGGACATAGTATATAACTTTGATAATTTAAATGTGTCTCCACAGAAATGTTCATGTGGTTCCATGTAATTGCAGTGCTCGTTGCCATTTCCTTTTAAAATATGTGTGGCCATGCTGTGAGCCTATTCTAGCAATTGCTGTATTTAAATGAGACGTTTGACTGCATTCTAACCTTTTCAGTTATTTAAATGCCCCAGAGTATGGTGAAATCATGTTTAATTAAATTTCTTTCTTTCCAAGTTGTTGTGAGGAATGCTGACAGAAACAAAACCTTACTATGCTTACATTGTTGTATACAAACTGTTTTGCTATTTTAAAAGGTTTTTCAGATGGTTGTAATGCTTGTAATTTTTTTTTAAAATGTGCTGTTTTGTGGTTTGCTGCCCTGGGCCAACTTGCGAGGAAGGCAGAGTAGAAGTTTTATAAAATCTCAAATCAGCCATACAAAGTACCATTGCCTTGAATAGTTATTTGCCTACCATTTTTCCTTTACACAGTCCCAGGGATCTTTATTTCTAATTACAAGTTATCAAAATAGGCTCACTCAATGGAGTAATTTGTACTGAAAGATCATTGAGTTGGATTCAGACTATTACAGTCATACCTGCCATCAGTTTCTGTTGATTTTGGGGGTGGAAGACATGGGGCTAGTGCAGTGATCAGACCCGATGCTGTCCCATGGTGCTAGTTTTGGATCTAGCAGATTCCAGGCTGCCACAGCCGCTACCCCATTTGGGGGCTTTCTGCAGGCTGCTGGCAATCCGGCCTGTGGCACTTCTGCCCACTTCCATGTTTCTCAGGCAGAACAGAGAGTTCCCTGCCAGTGCAGTGACACTGGCATCACTCCATCGGTGGAAACTAGCAGGGCTTGGTAGAGGAAACCTCTGTCCAGTGCACACAAACCCTAAAAAGAAGGCAAGATCAAGTGCAACCTTAGGTTGGATCCAATCCATAGTGATTAGGTTATGATGTTCCTTAAAAGTGTTTGCTTTCAAACATGTCTTGCACCCACTGCACCTGAAATGAGAGTCCAGGATTGGCAAATCATAGGTCAAATACCACCTAACTGGACAGCCTGCCTGCTGCCGAATATTTCTCTCCCCAGCCCCACCAGCTGTGGGATGCTCATAGGAGTCCCCTGGCATCAGGGGTTCACCCTGATGTGGGCTGTTTTCAGGAAGGCCTCATCCAAGAACCTGGATAGGTGATGGGCAGCCCTGCCTCTAAGCTGGGGCCAAGGCCTAATTGGTGCCCCCAATATTCCTTAGCCACCGCCCCCCCCCCCGCATGACTGCTGTTCCTTCCAAGTGCCCTTCACCCACCAACAGATGTTCTGGCAATAAAAACGCCGAAAAACATCCTGACTGATGAGGAAGGCAAAAAATCCCCCTCAAACAGCTAAACATGTGGAGGGTGACAGCTGATGCCCATAGCAAGAGTATGGGACAGAGGGAGGGTGAGCAGGGAAGTCACCTCCAACACGAATGTGTCTCTGTATGGCATGTCCAGTATTTAAATACTTGGTGTGGTTCACAGACACAAAGATCTGGTTCATGGCAAGTCCCCGGCCCCCAGGCGGTCAAATGAGCTTGGACTGGCACCCATTGAGGGCCAGTGGAGGTGCACTTCCCAACACCTCTTCAAGCCCAGTTGGCTCCTTCACCCTTGAGCATGCGATCTGCTGAAATCAGCAAGTGAAGATTTCCATTAACCACCAGTTAAGAAAAATGCCATGGTTAAGTTAAAAAGCAAAGTGTGAAGGTTTGCACGATGTGAGTCTGTATATCTCCCCAAAGTGTAAGGTAAAGGGACCCCTGACCATTAGGTCCAGTTGTGACCGACTCTGGGGTTGCAGTGCTCATCTCGCTCTATAGGCGAGGGAGCCGGCATTTGTCCGCAGACAGCTTCCAGGTCATGTGGCCAGCATGACTAAGTCGCTTCTGGCGAACCAGAGCAGCACACGGAAACGCCGTTTACCTTCCCGCCAGAGCGGTACCTATTTATCTACTTGCACTTTGACGTACTTTCGAACTGCTAAATTGGCAGGAGCAGGGACTGAGCAACGGGAGCTCACCCCATCGCGGGGATTCAAACTGCCGACCTTCTGATTGGCGAGTCCTAGGCTCTGTGGTTTAACCCACAGCGCCACCCGCGTCCCTTGCCCAAAGTGTAGATGGGGTTAATTTTAAACTTTGAAATAAAGTCTAAGGAATAAAACCTGACAACGTTATATTTACAATTTGCAGGTCACTGTTACAGCAGTTGCAATAACATTTGACAAACACCAAGCTTTGCAAGCAGCTAAAACTCCTGCAGAAAAAAACATTACAAAGAGGTAAACACATTGAGGAATTTAAAACTGTCAGCTCTTGCCTGTTTATGTATGCTATAATTGTTCATTGTCACAGCCATCTCAGGATGTCCATTCATTTAATTGGGCCTAAGTGGGTGTCATTAGGTGCAGCACTGCAGCCTAGACACCCTTTCCTAATGTTGCTGCAACATATTTCATCTTTACAATCATTACAGTTAAGCAGCTTTTATCATTCTCAGGTTTGCTTTTAACCACTTCTTGCAGGCTGTGGCATGTTTCATAAGCAAGTGAAACAAGCATACATTTATGCTGCACACACACACACACACACACACACACACACACTGGGATGGTGATGATGCATGCAGATGCTGGGTGTGGATTGAAACTCTAATGTATTTAATTCCATGCCTTGATTAAGATTGATTAATTTAATTGTAGTGTGTGCAGTGGCTTACAGGGTGTGAGTCTGAGAGTAAACTGCATTAAAGTGCCCTGCGTTCATGCCTCTGGGGAATAGAATTAACATCAACTGAAGCAATACCTGTGGCTAACCTTAAGGCGTGATTTCTCAATTTAATTGGTGGTTTTTCCAGAGGGGCACAGGTCTTCAGGGCATATTTAGAAAGAAGCTGCTGGTACTACTTAATCAGTTAAATGAACTGTAGTTATTAGTGAACATCTCTTTGCTTTCCACTACAGTGGATTGCTAACAAAGTTGTCCTGTTAGCACAATGACTTCTGACTGTGCAGCAGGTCATCTTTTCTTCCCAGAGTAAATCCAGAATAGATTGGGGGAGCAGAAGAGAGGAAGAGGAAGTCCCATTGTGCAGACAATTTCATTGGATACAACCAAGGCTGTGGGTTTTTTTTGTTTTGTTTGTGTAGGTTGGTATATGTGAATTTTGTAAAGAAGAAATAAAATAACGTTTTTGTGCCTTTCTCTTCTGTTTTTGTTGCCAGCTTCTACAGACAATGAAGAACAACTACAGTTTCCCATGGAGCTTTCTTCTGATCCTCATGCTCCCCAGCAATTCTCGCCAGCAAAAGGTTGGTTAAAGAAAAAGGCCTTATGCTTATCTTCTTGTGTTCCATCCACTTGCTCCTTTTTTGTTTGTCAACCGTAGAAGTAGTCCTGCTACGCAATGCAAGTTTTTTGTTTGCCAAAAAGACTTCATCCTCCGGATATGTGAGGAGAGTGAAACAAAATGTTCTTAATATGTCCGCTGTGCAGTCTCTTTTTAAGAACAGGGTGGCTGCTGCTGAAGAGGGAGCAAATGAACAGGAACAACTTGCGCTTCTTTTACGGCTCTTCTGATGCTGCTTTGAGCTGCTGCCAAACAGCCATTCTAGTCTAGAGACAGCTGCATTTCGGAAAAGTATGAGGTGGTTTCATCTAACTACAAAATGTGCTCTGAAGCGAGGGGTTTTGCTGAGTCTGAATCCAGTCTTTTTTGGAATTTTAAGAATTGTAAATATTATAGATTATTTCTCTTGGAGAGGCAGACAATGCGCCGTGCCAGGTATTTTCCAAAGGAAAGGAAATGCTCCACCACCCTCATTCTAAATCAGGCTTCCTCAAACTCATCCCTCCAGATGTTTTTGGCCTACAACTCCCCTGATCCCTAGCTAGCAGGACCAGTGGTCAGGGATGATGGGAATTGTAGTCTCAAAACATCTGGAGGGCCGAGGTTGAAGAAGCCTGTCCTAAATCTTTATCCTAATACAGAGGTTGTAGACTTCACAGCAGGGAGCCACAAAATGATTAATCCAAACTAGGGAGTATGTGATTTGGCATAAGTAAGTGCAGAGTAATGCTCGCTGGAATAAATATTCTAAATTTTGCATTAGACTGATGAGGTCTAAACAGGTAACTACCTAGAAAAAAAGAGATATTAGCATTACATTGGAAAGCTAATTTGAAATGCCGTCTCTTGTGAAAGTGTTTTGCTACTCAAGTCAACATAGCACATCTTTAAGGAGGTCAAAAGTATAACGCTATACATGTCTGCTGTGAAGCAAGTCCCAGTAATTTCAGTGGGCTTACTTCAAGGTAAGTGGGCATAGAATTGCAGCCCGAATCAACAAAGAGTCTTGTGATACATTAAAAGATGAACAGTTTTATCATGGTGTAGGTGTTTGTGGCAAGAGCCCACTTGGTTGGAGATATGAGGTTCCATCCTGTTGAAAGGTTCAACAAATGAACTTCAAAGGGAGGCTCCAGCAGGAAAGTGCTGAATGAGAACTTAATCAGTTAATTTTATGTGAAGAAAATGTATTTTTGCTTATTAATTATTGTGGATAATAACATTTAGTCTGTTACAGATTTTAAATACTGTATTTGTTATGAATTTTAGTTGTATGGATTTTATTGTTGTAGCTTGCTTTGATAACTTTTTTTTGGTATAAAGCAACAAAATAATTTTCTCCATCTGGACTTGACTAGATCTGTTCTACCACAGTTAATTAATGCAGGGTATATAGGATATGTGACCACCAATTTCTGCTCTTGTGAATGGTCGCTATGCTTTATGAAACAAGACTCATTTTGTTTTTACTACAACATCAGGAGTGTAATTAGGGAGTGTTCCAGAGACCCGAATCCCACAAGATGCCCGGAGTCTTCCAAAGTGCAATGCCCAGGAGACCACAGCCAACCACCCCCTAATTTTCCCAGAGGCTCTTGTTTTAATTTTAATATGTATATAAGCAGCCCATAGCTCAGAATAAGCCCTGACAGGTAAACTTTGCTTCCTGCCCCTTGGAATGTGAGCCTATATTTGCATGTACATACATTGCAAATTTGTGTCATAAGCCTGTGCCCCAAGTCTTTGAAGTACCTAACAATGCTCCTGTGCAACTGATTAACATGGCTATCCTCTGGAAACTCTTATCCCTAAAGTCAGTTTTAACAGATTATGCTAGGTCATTGCCAAGTGAGGTAATTACACAGTTAGTGTCTCGAGGAAGCTTCTGGAGCAACGCACTATTCACCACACAAATACTTCGACAAATCTATCCTGTTGCTGCGTTTCTGTTTACCAAACCACCCTCCTCTTCTTTCTACAAATCAGAATCTTCTGGAATTCCATGTCTTTCATTGTGTAAACTTAGCCTTCTTGCAGGGTTTCACTGTTGTTAACTTATTTGGCTTATTCTTTTCCAAAGATTAGTAGGAGACCCTATTTGTAAAATAACTGCTGGCCAGTAGAGGGTAGTCTACTCCCTTGTCAGCAAACAGTGTGTTTAACATTAACCATGGATGGTCTGTGAAACGCAGCAAGCATTTATGTGAGATCATCAAGGTTCGTATCAACGCCTCCCATTCTCTAAAGAGAATTATTTCTTTTGGAAAGATCTGTAGTTGATATATGATTCATAATTTACTTGAACTCCTGTGAGAACTTAATTATTAAGTTCATTTGCACTTCAGGCAAAATAATAGATCAACAAAGCAAACATTTATTACGTTCTCACTAAACCCCCAGAGTGCAGTGTTAATGTAATGGTGCTAAAGGGGTATATTCAGCTTACAAATAAAATTCCTGCCTGATCAGGTTCTGTTTTTTAAATTTCTATAACAAAAACACAGCTTGGACAATTGCCTGCCTGCCTTCCATAAGGTCTTGGAATATTGTTTTGCGTTACCATAATACCTAGGTCCTGTTTTTCCCCTGCGTTTTGACTAACAGCCTGCTGCCCTCCCTGCTTTCTCCCAGCAGCTTTGAGACAAACTTGCATCATTACAAAAGGATCAGGGAGCTTCTGCGTACAAATAAGCATGTTGTCGCCTAGTTAAAGCATTATGTTCTGCATGTAGTAAAGTATGCAGGGAAGAAGGCTAGTGTGCATAAGCCCTGTTACACATTTCTGCTATATTCTTGGGGGAAAGTAGCATGTGAACAGGCCCTGTATCTCTAAAACAGAGAGACCTTAACCTGAGTAATGCTGTTGAAGTTGCACTATGTACATTGTGGGTTCATGAAGGCTTCAGCCTCAATTTGTTACCACTTTTCGGAAAGCAGGAAGCATTGCACTCCCAATTAATCTGGCAAGTGAGATTGATTCACAACTGGAGGCATGTAGTCTTTATATGTACACATACACACAGGCAACACATATGCACCTTCATAAAAGTGCAGACATTCCTTTATTCATACTGTTGCATTCTTATTGTTGCACACAAAAAACCCCACCCCAGGAAGCAAAAACTGGGACAACAGAAAATTCTTTTTTCACCTTGACTTTTCACACAGATACACACATGACTTTTCTCTTGAGTTGCATGCACACAGCAAGTATTGCTGTGGTGTGTTGACACTAGCTAAGTAGGCATGTACGGTATGTCTAGGAAATCTATAGTCCAATAACACCTGATGTGTGTTTAGTATGGCCCCTCCCCATCACATTTTTGTCCTAGGGTATTTCCTAGCTTCCTAGCACTGTTTCATACACAATTTTAAATGTATCCTTAAAAATGCAAAGTGTTTATATGACAAATTTGTGTTTACAAGCACATACATCGTACGTGCACAATCAGACAGCAAGGACTGGTTATAGCTCCCTTAGTGTCAGTCTTTGCTTTGCTGCTGTCATGTGGATAAAATGAGCCCTAGTTGACATAACCCATGTTGATGGTGCTGGTCTAGTGTATAGCTGCACTAATAAAGAGTTGCCAAGGGCACACATGCAAAATAGGGGAAATTTATTCTCCTGGCTTAAGATTCTCCAGCCTGGGCTGAAACATAACCTTTTTACGGTTGACAGAAGTGCAGATTAAGTTAGTGAAATAGTGCAGTTAAACCATGTTCTTCCATAAAGAACTGACATGATTTACATTGATTTGTAGAAATTACTTCAACCGTGGTGAGGTAACCAGTGGCCCACGGGTCAGATTCAATCCACCAGCCTGCCAACTTGTCTATGGCTGTCTAAAAGTGACAGTCAGAGCACTGCCTCTGGCAACATAATTTAATAAAAATTACACCACACACAACACACACACACACACACACACACACACACACAGGTGACATCATAGAGCTTTAAGTGTATGGTGCGAATGGCGCCAGAGTCATCACCATGCCCCTGTTGTAAAAATAAGGACCATTTTCTCCAGCTGCCCACAAGATGGTGCTCTGAGTACAAGTGAGGAGGAGTCGCTTAAGAGCAAAACCCGGTTTCTAGATGGGTTGGTGGTGTTGGCCTATTGTGATGAAGATGGTCTTGCAGCACCAGAAAGACCGGCACATTTATTATGGAATAAACTTGTGCATCAGAGCCCACCATCAAGCTGCATGAAGAGTTACCCACAGCTGGCAGGTGCATATACAGAACCATAGAATTGTGGACTTGGAAGGGACCCTGAGGATCATCTGGTCTGACCCGCTGCAATGCAGGAATAGGCAGCTATAGGGATCAAACTTGCAACCTTGGTGTTACCAGCACCACGCTCTAACCGAGTGATATATAAAATAAAAGGTAAAGGTACCCCTGCCCGTACGGGCCAGTTGTGTCCGACTCTAGGGTTGTGCGCCCATCTCACTTAAGAGGCCGGGAGCCAGTGCTGTCCGCAGACACTTCCGGGTCACGTGGCCAGCATGACGAAGCTGCTCTGGCGAGCCAGCACCAGCGCAGCACACGGAAACGCCGTTTACTTTCCCGCTGTAAAGCAGTACCTATTTATCTACTTGCACTTAGGGGTGCTTTCGAACTGCTAGGTGGGCAGGAGCTGGGACCGAAAGACAGGAGCTCACCCCGCCGCGGGGATTCGAACCACCGACCATGCGATCGGCAAGCCCTAGGCGCTGAGGTTTTACCCACAGCGCCACCCACGTCCCTTTTGATATATAAAACGTGCACCTAATTCAGGATCTCAGAGTTGCAGCCCGGTCAGAGTAGACACATTGAAGTTAACAGACAGGACTAACCGAGATTCACGCATTTCAACAACTTAACTGGATACGACCCCCAACAATAAGCCTCAGAGATGTCATGTGTGGGCGTGACACTCAAGGGCGCATCATGTTTTGTTTAACGACAGCAGCAGAACTTTCTTTTCAAGTTTTAGATAACCTGGTTAAGCTTTAGATAAGCTGTCAAGAGTCTTTAATTTCTCCCGGCTTTGGTCTGGTTCGAAGCTCTTTCTCTGCTCTGCATTATGCTGTGACTCCCTTCCTGATTTTATTGTATTTAGAGCTGGTTTTTATTGCATTGTAATGTGTTGTTTTTTTATATTGTGATAATCTTTGAGGGATGCTTTTATGGCTGAAAAGCTGCATATAAATGACTTTATAAGTGAGCAAAAGCAATCAGTAAGATCCACATATACTGTAGTTGCTTTGGAAGATGATAATCAGGCACCCGCACAACATGACCAGT